AGCCGCTTCCTAAGTGCTTTACAACAGAACAGAGCACAGTCAAGGCTTCTCTATATATTAAGTATAACCACAGTTTGAGAAGAGGAACTTGAGATTTTTGGTTTCGCAGTTTTGGCAATTTTTTACATTGAGCCTTTTCTTTGTTTTGTTTTTTGTTTTTTTGTGATGAGAAAAATCAGTCTCTTGGTTCTGTATTTGTTTGCGATGGCCTCGCATTTTCACATTTTTCCGGTGTGGTAGTAAAAAGCATCTCACTGTTGTGTGTTTTTACTATGAAAATGCCGTTCTGAATAGCACAAAACATTTTATACTCAGAAGAGACTGCGCATTTGATTTTGAAACAAACAGACAAACAATCAAAATCAAAGGATCAGTTATTTTGATTTCTTACATCCCTCAGTTAGTGCAAATAAAATGTCATTCATACATTTGTATATTATGGTAACTTTTTGCAAATTCTTCTAGGACAAGAAGAGGAAATCGAGTTGACAGCGAGGAAGGATGAAAACGATCCTCTAGCCAGAAAACTAGACACTCACAAAGACATGGCAGTGGATTCCATGATTACACACGTCGAAGGCAATGAAAATTGAAGACAAGAAAATGAAATAGGACAATGTAATGTAGCACTTTGTAAGCAAGAGATGCTTCTACCTAATTCACATCAATTGATTTTTTAATAGGAAGTTCTTTATAATTAGACCCTGATTAAGAAAGATAGTGCCGTTCCTTACACTGCCTTTAGGGACAAATTCAAAATACTGCATTAACGATTTACACTGTTTAATCAATTGATTTTTTAAACAACACGAACAGTTTAATTTTCCTTCATTATAAGAGAAAAATTGTATTTGATAAAAGAGGAACTACGTTTTTCATTAGTGTTCCTCAGTTTGAAACTTTTGTAATTTACTTATGAGTATTCAACTTAGAGTAAAAGGTGCAAATGCTTGGTGCTGTTAGAGACAACAAATAAAGCTACTTTTGATGAATGCTGTTTACGAATCTAGTACACATAGAATTATGCGAAATGTTTCGGAAAAAAGATAGTGAGAGTGAGATTTCCACCACCCAACTTCTCAATACCGATCTTCGAACATAACTTCATAGAGATAGAGAGAGAGGAGCACGGGCACATTTTTCAAAAAGCGGCAGGTAATTGAGCTGAAACTCTTGAGGTCTCATTAGCAATTCTCCCTTCTACCTGCAACATACAGTGGTTTGGAGAATTTGCTCGAAGGTCATAGCTTTCCTTGTGCTCTACCCCTGGAAATTACATGACAAGCTGAATCGTATATGCATTTTGGTTGGTGCTAAATTACTCTCTTTTGGAGGACAGACGCATAAATGACCTCACCAGTAACAACAACATTTTGTTCTCTCATCAGTCAGATTTCTTTTCTTTTTCCCTCTATGGCCTTATTTTTTCTACCGTGAGTCCAATTGTGAGTTTCTTTTTTTCCGATTTTTGTTTAAACGACTAGAGACTTTATGCTTCTGACATAACCCCTGTGCTTGACAAACTTGTGGGGATATACATGCATATTCGTTTGATAAATGGTTTCGGAGAAGCATTTGAACTGATTGTTTCAAAATATATTTAATTTGGGCTGATTATTAATTTTTTAACTTTGTCAGGTATTCACCTGTCCATGGGTTCTTTCAGAGACCAGGTTTGCCCTTAGAAGCCAGTAGGCGACAGAAACCTTATGGCTGTCGGACCATTTTGCGCCGGCTAATCTAGGAATTGTGACCAAACCAAGAAAATAAGTATTTTTGAACGGATTCTAACATCAATGTCCCGCCAAAATAAGTTATACATTTCAGCCAAATATGTCCAAGAATGTTAGATGCCAAATGTCAATTTTCTTACAAAGGAGCATGGCCCTGCACCCTTCCTACATGTAGAAGGGCGTGATGTTTTGCAACGAACTCTAAGTGATGCGCCTGAAAATTCCTTTCAGCCAGCTACTCAGTTCAGATCATGCACCTATTACCACCCTGTCTTCCCAGACACAAAAGTCGCCATTTCTTTCCCCATCAAACATATCTAGCTATTTGCAGCCACAATAATTTTTGTATGCAAAATAAAGCAAAGTTGACTTATAATGCTATACATCTAACGAGACAGCTGACACATTGACAATGACGTGCATGTATATGAGCTGTTACAGTATCATTACAGGATTAAAACTGCAGTAAAAATCTGAAGAATTTTTAAACAAATTATATCAAGTTATCTGATGTTAAAATAATATGTCACCTCATATTTTTTCCATTATTAAAGGAACAGGAGCAAATATTTTACAAGAAAAAAGCACAACTAACAATGAGTGTGAGAACCTATCACAGTAATCTTCTCATAATTTTACCCATTGTAGTTACACTTAATCTCATGTTCTTTGTATAAAGAAAGATTTTCCATGTGCATTAAGTTCCATTTCATACAAGGCATGCTCTGTATACAACAGCTTCTGAAGCTGGGCTCTTCTAACCTAAAACAGAGAGATTACAAAATAAATGTAAATCTATAAACACTATGAGATGACTACAGAAACTAAAGACCCTGAGAGTTATGTACAAATGTACTATGCATTTGCTATCCAACTTTACCTAGGTGAGTACTGTGCATTTATTTTGACAGGTGGTTATTTTGTATTGTAAATAAAAAAAACTTGTTTGACGGGTTGGCTAAGCTTGCATGAGCTATAAAGCAGTTGAATAATAAATTACTGGACATTTTGGTTTGTTGTTATAGTTGTAACTTACAGCTGTCAATTCTTTGTTTGCTAGAGAAAGCTCTTCTTTAGTGTCAGCAGCCCACTCTTTCAGCATTCGTCTCTCACTATTCTGCAAAAAACAGCCAAAAGCTTCAGATTCAATTAAGTCAGGGTGTCATGTAACTAACTGTGTCATTGGTAAACATCATAACAAAATGCATTTGGCAATGCAGAATGATTTATTACCAACAGATACCTTTAGGATAGATCCATGGCTATTTAGTTAATACCTTTCAATTTGAACAATGATCATGCATTACCAGTGGTATGATATGATAAAAATTACCCAATTTCAGGCTTAAAGTTTGTATCATTTAGTTCTCTATACATTTTTGAGAAAAACTGTTCATTTGAAATCTTGTGGCAAAAAATAAATAAATAAATTAAATAAAATAACATTGTGCCACACTCACAATAGGTGTAAGAGGAATAGTGGAAAATCAAGTAGAGTAAGTTGTGGAAAGATGAATAAGTAATTTGAAGCACATTTCATTGCAGAGGAACAGCTCTCAAATCCTTTTCACCAGCAGTAGAATATTTCAGCCCATACATTAAATGTGCCCCATGGCACAACAGAATGTGTCTTTGATTCAACTCATTTGTAATAAACTTTAAATCAATATATCATTTCCAGTTAACAGCACATGCATCTGTTGTGACAAAAAAAAGTACACTTTTGCCTTGCTGCAGAAATCACAGAAGTTGAACACAGTACAATGTATTCATCAAGGGAATGGTAAATGTACTATTCAACTGTATGTGGTTGTCTTTTACAATATTGAAGAAAAATTTTACCTCTTCCTGTTTTTCCATCCAGTCTGCAATCTGGTTGATTCTAATTTCACTGCAAGAAGATAACAGCATTGCAAAGTAAATAATCCAAGATGCCTTAACAGCCAGGATCCCCACCTCTGCTTTCAATTTTTATATTGACCTCTTCCATCTCCACATACAAAGAGCTAGATGAATGGACACGTAGTATCCAATATCAAGATTAATGAGTGATGTGTATTCATTCAACATGTACAGTGTACTTTACTGTACCTCCATAGAAAATGTAGTGAGGCTCAATAAATTCTTCATGGGATTAACATTCACCACATTTTGTGGAAAAATTTTTTTTATATATTTCCCATATCACTTTTGATAGGTAGATCTAACTAGTCTTAAACAAGACTGGGAGAATCATTCTGCAGGTGAGATGCCCACATATCCCAAAAGAGAAAACGAGATTCATATGATGACCCTGACAGTGCTACAAATACACATGTGGGTGAAAAAGCACAGAAACTTAAAACAACCAAATGTTAAATTCATTGTATATCACCATAAAGTTCTCATAGAGGAGGGCATTGGGGTCCAAAAGAAACCACAAAACAGTACTAAGTATCAACCACAACCAAAATCCTACAGCAGCCCTTGATCAAAACCAAAAATTATATGCAAACCACAGCTTCTTGAATGAGGAAAGTTTGTAAAAATTCTTTAAAAAGATATCTTATACATGTAGCTCTAAAAACATCCAACAAGAAGCCATCTTTTTACCTTGAACTTTTGAAAAGTTAGATATGATTTGGTTCGAAGATTTGACTACAATAAGTACTCAAAACAATTAAATACAAGCAGACTTGGATTGACTGTAAAATTTGTACAGTCCCATAAAATGCAAAGGCAAAGATGAAATTAAATGGCACAGTTCACTACATTAATAAAAACATTGTAGTCAATAACAGGCACAGAATTTTATATTTGTATTGTCAGTGGAAACTAGTAAGTTCAGATGTTTACTGGCCACAAAAGACAGCAGCTAATTATTAAACCTCACAGCTCTTGCAAACAGTGATCTTGCTCCAAGGAAAAAAAAAAGTGGATGTCCTATTTCACTGCATGAGTTTCTGTCTTCAGTTTTGCAACAAACTGGAAAAACAAAAAACCTAATATGCCATATCAAATCTTGAATGAACATGGGTTTTACTTTTGAAAATGGATTGTCCTGTAAGGAAATCACAAACTAATACAGAACCAAAAAACCGATTTTTCTCATCACAAAAAACAAAAAACAAAACAAAACAAAAAAAAGGTCAATGTAAAAATTACCAAAACTACAAAACCAAACACCTCAAAGTTCCTCTCCTCAAACTGTGGTTATACAATCGAATAGTCTGCAAATATGGCATGCACGTACATGACTACATGTACAAACTTGCACCAGGATTGTTGAAATACATGTAAGCTGGCAACTGCCACACTTCACAGCTCTACTATGAAAAAAATGCATTAGCATGTGATTCAGTTTTCAGCATGGAACCATGACACTGACAGAAATAAATCTGCTTGGTGCATCTCCTCAAAATCTTTTTGACAACTATGAAGTACTGTACATTGTCAGGAGTTAAATGGGCTCCTAACAATTTATATTAACATTCCTACAGTATCAACTAGGACAATACAATGTTCTAATTTTTTTCATATTTCTAGATATATACCAGGAAACAAACTCCTCTAATTGGTCAAAAGTTAAAGTTACCTAAATTGGTTACCTTTTCACTTTTGCTTCCTGTTCTGAGTTGCACTCATCATTCTATAAAAGAAAAAATCCTGAATTTTTATTTAAAATATGAATTGTACGTATTGATTTAAGTCACTCCGTAAGATAAAGACAGCTTCGTACAGTCCTTTCCAGTTCTTGGGAGCTCCATCTATTAAAGGTAAAATGTACGAATGTTGACACTACATGCATACAGTGCTGCTTGCGAAGGGAATCAGTGGAGGCCCTCAACGCACATATTTTCCTTAATAATCATCCCTTTCAGGAGTAACTTCATTGGAAGTAATGAAAATTACAGTAGTTCAAATAAGATGTGTTCAGCACTGGTTTAGGAATTAAAAAAAAATGATAATAATGCTCGAAAAGTTTTCACGTAAATCTATCACTACGGTACAAAATCTCTCAGGTTGTCGCTTATTTATGAACGAAGAAAGAACCTACCGAACAAACTTTTACCAAGAATTAAGATATTTTAAACGTACAGTAATATCGTCGAGTGTGAGATACGAACGTACAGGCAGACCTTTCACAAAAATGACGATGTATAGGAATTTAGGGCTTACTGTTGTCGTTCCCTTCAGACCTACTTGTCACGAAATATTAAACAATAATCATTGGCACCGGATAATAGAAGGAATATCTTTTCTTTGCATTTAGAAGGGAAACAATACATTCAGCTTTCACATAATCATGCCGAGATACGGTGTATTCAATTTCGTTGATGGGTTTCATCGATGTTGAGATAACTCACAAACCTTGATTCTTTCTTCCTGTCTTTTCAGAGCTTTCCTGAGGTTTTTCGCTCCGGGACGATCCACTTCGTATCTGTAATTCGTTGCCATCGACATCTTGGCAAAATCGAAAGTCAAAAGAGTAAAATCTCACTTAATAACTCTTAATCCTAAAATCGCTCTGCTGTTTTGTTAGTTTACAATGGCGAACAATCAAGCGAACAAAAGTTGAAAACAAACGGCCGCGTTGTCCTGGTAACATTCTATAACCCAGTTCTCTCCGCGTAAGTCTTTTCCAGGCTCTCGTTTATTCCATCGAGAAAAGCGAAGCAATCCTTTGAGGAGGAGGGGGTTGGGGGAATCAACTGTCCTGTTATCTTACCAATTTATTAGAGACAGCTCAGAAACCAAAAGTTCACCATAGGTAGTTCTCTTACCGTTAATAAGGTGGATCAAAAGATTACAAATCATGACGCGCCTCTAAAACCTCAAGTCATATCATGCGGTTTCCTATGAATGGCTGCTATAGCCTAAGTGTAACCGTACCCGCCCCCCGCCCGAGGTAAAACGGAGGCGAAGTAGTATTGATAAAGTGGCAACGTTCAGAGATCAAAAGAGTAACACTCAGAAAACTGAACTTTCGAAAAAGTTGATGTCAGTTATCAACGTTCGCCTGTAATCAATAATAACTAAGTTTAAAGATCATCCTCAAACTATGACATTTTCGGCGCTGAAACAATAGATGGACGCGATACATTCAGCTGATGCGGCTTAAATAGGTCGATCGTTACGTTTGCCTCGCAACTTAGGAAGATTGCATTTCTCCTTATTTTCAGTTGAATCATTTAACGTTCTCCATAGCGCTTTAAATTCACAAAAATTGAGATTATCTCAAAAGCAGCTTTATTTAGTTTCTCTAACATCCCAGGAAGAAATATTATTATTTCAAGTGTTATTCTATTTACCAAGTCTACAAATCTTAAAAAAATCTATGAAATTCAAACAGAAGCAGAACAGGACAACTCACATTACCTCAGAATTACGAGGAGCAGCGAAACACTACTATATTTGATAATCAATTAAACTCCGTCATACTTTGGGTCCTCCTTAAAAAAAATTATTAACATTTGAATGGTTGTGAAATAAGTAAGGCAATAATTAAAAAAAAAAAATCAGCTCAAAATATGCTTCAATTCTTTAATGTTTTGGTTTTAAAAATGTAACTGTCTGTTTGTCCGCACAGACTTTGCTCCCTTAATTTTTGCCTTCTTCAATGGCTGTTACTGTTGAGTCCTCGGTAGTATTGTGGGCATGTCCGATCGAGTTTTCTTGACTGTTGGTGTTTTCAGTCGAATCAAACCCATCCTCCTGGCTGTTCACTCGATGTCCCCTGATCGTCCTATAGTAAAATTTGAATCGTGTCAGCAGGGACTCATATTTGACATTTATGAATTATTTTCTTTCCGACATGTCAGTAGATCCTGAGTCTTTTTTTGTGTGTGTTTTTGTTTTGTCTTTTTGTTTTGTATGTTTGTTTCTTGTTATTGTTGTTTTTTTTTGGGTGGGGGGCGGGGGCGGAAGGGGGATTTTGTTGAAGAGATACTTCAATTTCCACCTTCTGTAGTTTACTTTCTCTGTGAGGATCAGTTCTTCTCTTGACTAACGACATAAATAGTCAACAAAAACCGTAACTATTCCCGGTAGATAACAGTCTCTTACTTCACATGTACTTGTTTCTGTTTTTCGGACTTTGGGGTGCCCTCTTCAGGGAGGGGCGATTCCGCCCCGGAGACATCCGCAGAAGAGTTCAACCCTAAGTCATACAGTGGGTTAGTTAGACACATTCCTGTCCTTTTGTAAGATGTGAAAGACGTTTCCATTTCATCGTCGCTGCTTGCCGGAGTGAGGGCTGCTGCAGGGCTAAGATGGTGTTTGTCTTTCGTGGTGATCCTGAGCCGGTCTGAAATACAACATTAGGCGATGCATCACTCATAAGTAATTCGGTATTTTTCAGAACAGTTGAGAAAATCTCATTAGCTCTCGTCCCTCCTTAATTATCCTCATCCTTTAACATTTCGACATATAAGAGAAAAGCTAGATTCATTCCCAAATACTTCCAAAAGAGTAAAATCAACTGATTTACTCATATTGGCTCGCTTTACCCCAACTGTTGTAATTTAGGAAATATTGCCTAGAGCGAGGAGACGAAAAGGAGAGCGGAAATAAACAGGTAACTACTGTACTTGTCAATCTGTGTTTAAAGCTTTTCTTTTTTTCAGTGATTGGTCGCATTGCGTTGTCGCTTCCTTCATCCAAAAATGAGTCTGCACCACTACTAAGGCTTCCCGTTTCCTCATCACCAGCCTGCTCGAGGTTCCACACGCGATGTATTTCAGGAGTGTCCGGCAATGAAGAAAGGGCCCTGTATTGAAAAATAAGTAAATAAATAATATTTTACTCGGTGAAAGTTTCGTCGTAAGGTCTAATTTTTTTTACACCAGCTTCAGTATGCTCTTCATCATATGCTTTCTTTTGTTCAAGTCATTCATTAGCATCGCAATGACATAGGATTCTGTCGGAACGCTATTGCAATATGTATCAGCTCTTAACCAAACAACTGTCCGACCTATCACGCAGGATACGGTAGAACCAGGCATTTTGGACTTACATTTGTGTATTTTTTGGAACAAGACTCAGTGTTCCTATATCACCAGCATAAATTTGTGGAACAGCTTTTTCATCGGGTTGTAGTGTATCAAAGTTGCTACCATACATTCTTTCAGTCAGGCCTCGTTTTCTGCGCATCGAACTGCAGAAGGGAAGCTCAATCTCGGTTCTCCTATCCACAATCCTAAAAAAGTACAATAACATCATGTTACTATGTCTTTAGGGCTTGGGACCGTTGCATCTGGAGCCTTTGTCCAATTCTATATCGAGGCTGGGACATTTTCTCTGCCCTTCTGACCGGGTTGTCTGAAGGGAATCGTGGACACTCCATAAACTATACACTGGATAAATCTCTATCCGGTAAATGTTTCCCTAACAGCTTACTTACATCAACTTACCATGAATACTTCAGTGTGGAGCGAGGCGATGCAAAAGATAACTGTATTGCCCTAAAGCGCGCCCTGGGAACCCAGTTAAGGTTTAGACCTTTGCTATTAATCACCGGCAAAAGAACCACCAGAGCACTGGACTTTTCACAGGGTGTCTTTCATCTAAGGCATATTTAACATTTCATCAGCGGGTTCTTTACAGCAGAAGTTAAAGTAGAATATTAATTTTTGATAATTATTTGCTTAAAAATGTCCTAAGATCAATACCTTTGTGACTCTTGTTTCTTTTTACGTCGCCAATACACAAGAACACCGACAACAATAAGGAACACGCCACAGCAGACGCCAGTCACAATCCATCTCCAGGCCCCACTCTTTCCTTCATTTCCAGTGATTAAGATCTTGGCTGTAGTTTGATCACGTGATGCGAGGACAGCGCCGCCTGTGGTTTTATCTAACTGGATCCAAACCACACTCTCGTGTACTTCTTTCTTGTCACTGGCGACGTTGATGATAATCGAGTCGTTCCACTGACCATCAGCTAACGACACCTGTCCAGATTTCGGCCACACGATCTCCATACTGTCAGACGAATCATTTTGGTACAGAGACCATTGCACAGTTACGTCACCCAGGGAACCTTTCGCTCTACGCACTGGAAATTCCAGTTTGGTGACTTGTCTGGAGCGGGTAACTACTACGGCTCCATTGTCATTGTACACTACAGAGACACAGGAAATGAAAACATAAGACGCATATATAAATATGCCATTCAGCTTTGAAGATGACCGCATACTTTTGTAAAAACGAAGGACCGTGATATATTGTTATTTTGGTCAGAAGTCGAGTTAAAAATGTTGAGAAATGAATGTGCCCCGAAGCAAGCATCACCCACGTCAAAGAAGTGCAAGCCTGGTGCTAAATTCGCTAGGCCAAAATAATATTGTGTAGATGACGCGGGTAATAGAAAATGAACAGTCTACAAATTTCAATATGTGACTCGGATTTGTGCTATATAGTTGCTACAACTTTTCTTTTTCGATGTGTAAGAAAGATGATTTGTTGATTTATCAAGATCTAGATCACAACCTCTAGCTAATTCTACCCTCATGACTAATTCTATGGATAAAGCTTCCATTGGTAAACCAGGTCTAAATTATTGCTTTACAGATTATGGATTTTTTCTAGTCTTATGGGGGAGGAAGGGCCAAAATGGCACAACTACACTTACTTGAGTTGTTTTTATCGAGTAAAACCAGACCATTTTTTGCGTAGAATGACCAAAGGAACGAGAACTGAGTCAGGTGACAGACTTTCACTGTCAACAGTTTGATCGACTTGTTCACGTGACTCCAGGGCTCAGGGCACGTGAGCGCTGCATCAAACCTAAGCGAGAGATACAGAGCAAATAAGCAAACAAGGAGCTAAAATTTAACTTGATGATGAGGCTGAAGTGATGATGACCTTTCCAGTTTTAAAAAATAGGGCCTAAAAAATCATCTCTGGCATCTTAAGATTTGAAATTGAAATCCATCACTGTAAGTTACATGCTCTCTCTGAATAAAACAGCGATGCTTAGCACATCCTTTAAGAATCGCTTGTAAGGTATACATAACTTTTAATAACCTGCGGACAAAAACTTACCAGGTTTCATTCTTGGGATCCCAAAGATACAACACAGGATCTATGTCTTCCTTGGTGAGTTCATTATTGACGTGCTTTCTGTTGGCTTTCACCAGGTTATCAACGTCGTAGAACATGGCAATTGTGATTGGCTCAGCAAATTTGAAGCCTTCTTTCACCGTGTTTTTCTTCGGGTCTAACGCCTTGATAACAAAACTGTAATTTCCAAGCATGAATTGCTGTCCAATTAGAAAAGGAATGCTGTGAGTGAGTTTGTTGCGGATGCAGCGAGCATTTTTTTGTACAGAAAGAGAGACGGAACAAGGAAAAGAACAAAAACAATTGTCATAATTTAAACAAGTCAAAATCATACCTTGGGCCTAGTGTACTTAGGATTGCTAACGGGACCCTCCTCAGTCTGGTTCGTGTCCATTGTTTTCTCATCCAAACTGTACGATCTCAACTTCACCTGCTCCTCGACAGCACCTT